TCTTGTTACTAAATCCACTGGACGCTTCTAGTCCACATCCTTGTTCCTCCCTGGCACCAACCACGCAACTGCCACGGCTTCCTTCCCGACTCTTCCTGAGCTTCCAGGACCCCAGCTCTTCTGGATGCTACCTTTCTGGCCAATCTCCTCAGCCTCTGGTGGCAGCTTCTCTCTCTCTCTCTGCATGCACCCCCTCAGGTGCAGTCTTTCCTCCTGTCTTGTTCCGTGGGCACACTGGACATGGTTGGCTTCAGGGACCACTATACACTGGGGGGTCCCAGATCCCTCCCTCTATGGTGAGACCTCCTTCCTAAGTTCATGCTAATTTGTCTACTTAATAAATTCTTCCTCCTATACTTCCCACAGATACTCAAATGTATGATATGCAGAAAAGTAATTCAGAGCCAAGCACCCTTCAGACCTGCCCCAGCTCCTACTTCACTCAGAGGTACTGCTATTTCCACAGCAAACATCCAAGCGACTGTCATGAAGCCTGGCATCTCTTTCTTCACTCTCCATTATTATATAACATCTCTCCCTTCATTCCTATAGCTGCCACCCGACTCATAACACCTTCACCAAGCCCTTACTGGACATAATCACCTCTTTCCAACTGGTCACCCTGCCTCTCCACTCCTATTCCCATTTTATTCTCCATATGCAATCAAAGTGATTTCTAAAGGCAAGTATAAAATGTGAGGTAAAATCATGTCCTATGTCCTACCACCTAAAGCCGGAGTCATGTTAACATGACTCCCAGAATGGCCACCACGCATGCTGTACCACACCCCTCCTCAACGGTCTAACCTCAGACCAGCTGCCCCTCTGAGTCCTGCCTTCTCTAGCCTCTCCATCAGCCAACGCCCGTTCATCTCAAATTCCATTTCAGCCAATCACATCCCAAACTCAGGACTAGACCAGGCCCACTCGTGCTCCCATGAGCCCTTACTTGAGCTCCAGTCACCCACCAACCTCCTGGCATCTATGAGGATCCACATGGAAGCCTGGAAGCCTCTGTGAGCAGGGAAGACCTGTGTCAAATATTTTCTGGGCCCCAGTAGCCAGGCTCACAGCAGGGCTCAGATGCAAAAGTGTCCTGGCTGAAGCATGGCCTACACACAATCCGCAGGCCTCTGGAGGTTTCACCCCTCTTCCAGAGTCTAACTCTCATTCCTTGATGCCCTCAACAACTCCTCATAGCCAGGATAACCCCAGACCTCCACTGTGGAGTGAGGCCTGCCTAGAATAGAAAACCAGGTTCACTCCTTTCTGAGGTGACACACAGACCTTCTGGTGGACATCACTGTTCACACACTCACAAACTTTCCTATGTGTACATGGATACACATGTGCCCCAACTGCACATCACAGTCACATCCACAGGCAGGCACGGACCCACAAGTACCCTTAACTTCGCAAACAGACCAACAAAGCCCCTAGGCCTCCCCACTCTCCCACCCACACAGATGCACCCACAGGTGCACACAGGTTCCCTCGTGGCTGGTACCCAGTCAGGGCCACAGACAGCACACCTGGTTGATGACGTAGATGCCATAGCGCAGCCGCTGCCGCCTCAGGATGGGGTGCAGATAGTGGAGCCAGTAGCGAAGGTGGTGCTCCCGGTGCCGAAAGGGGATGATGACTGCCACTGTCTGGGCTGGGGAGCAGTCCGGTGGTGTGTAGCGGCCACCCAGAAGCACACCTGGATTCTCTCTCTGCACCCGCTCTAGTGGCATAGGTGAGGTGAACTCAATCAACAGGCGACCCACTGCAGGCAGGACAGTGTAGGAATCAGGGCCTTTGCCAGAATCCAGGAAGATCAGCCCTTCCCCAAGCCTGGGGGTGGACAAGGAAACTTCCAAGCATAGGCCCCCTTAAAACAGACCTGGGCATTTGGCACTTACATTGCTCAAGAGTCCATTCCTCAAGTCAAACTGTTAAGACCAACCCTCTTCTCTTCCCATGCCTATACCAAGCCCTGCTCTACCCTGCAGGCTCACCAAGACCAGGCGGCGAGTCAGGACAGGGTGGGAGGATGGGAGCTGTGGGGCCAGGCCCAACGCTGGGGGCCTCTGGGAGCCTGGAACTGGGAGCGGTAGTGTTGAGCCGAGAGTAGTTGGTGCTGCTGCTGGCAGCTGGGTGGAGGGCATGGGCAGGGCTGCGGGCACTGAAGCGGCTGAAGAAGGCCAGGTGCTGGGCGTAGACGTCAAAGTAGAGGATGACGGCCACAAGAAAGTGCAGTAGGCAAAGCAGGAGCACAGCCTTGCAGATGCGCTCCAGCGTCCCCCCCAACAGCCTGCTCATCCCGCAGGCGGCCACAGGCCGGCCCAGTGGGCCCAGGCATCCGGCTGCTGGCCTAAGGAGGGGCAGGAAAGAGACAGACCTTCTGCATTAGGGCAAGATGAGCAGATACCCATCCACACTGCCTGCCCAGCTGCTCATACTCATAGACCCATAGCCTCTCACTCACGTGCTCATACTCCCACACTCATGCACTCACATTCTACCCAAAAGAGACATACAGAGTCTCTGGCAGCACAATACTTACACCCTCTGACACATTCACATACTAAACGCATATACATTGACATCCCTCATGTTCTCGTACAATCTCACACTCAGGTGCATACAGCCTCACTGCCAAAGTACATTCAACCATGTACTTCCAAGATACACAAATATGGGAACACTGATCATCCCTAAACATAGTAACACACTTGTCCACACACTCATACGTGCCCAAGAGAACACATCCCACACAGGGCAGCATTCTCAACAAAGGATTTCTGGTTTGGGAAAGGGGAACAGGGATCATTAACTGATACGACTATACAGACACACTTTCTACTCATGGCTTCTTTCAGTCCTTTCTAATGGAAAAGCGGTTTCATGGGGCAGGTCTTGGACAAGGTCAGGCCACCTAGGACCAGGCTAGGAAGTGACCCTGGCGCCCAGGTTGTCCAGTGCAGCTGAGATATGAGCAGAATCCCTCTCCTCTGAAACTACAGATCAAAACAGAGTGGGGCTGAGAGGAACAATGAGTCGGTCAGGAACTACTGGTTATGATTCTAAGAAGACACCTGGGCCCTGGTAACAGGCAAAGAATTCAGTGTGGCAGGGAGGGTCTGGCCTGGCCAGTGGCTCTAACAGTGCAGCAACCACTTCTGTCAGCACTTAAGTGGGCAAGACAAGTCTCAGTCACAAACGCACCGAGTCATACGGCCACCTCTGGTCCCAGTCACCCACAGTCAGAGACCACAAAAAACTACGGACACACCCGAGTGAAGATAACACAGTTACATATTCACAAAGGAAGCCTCTGCTTCTGGACTCAGTCAGACACCCAGGTTCCTGGTCAGCTCACATCCAGATCCACGTGCAAACATCCTGCCTCTCCCTCTGGGCCAGGGGTTCTGGGTCATGCCAGTGGCCAGGTGGCCAGGCTAAGAGGTGCGTTTGGGCGGGGCTGGATTCTGGAGTGGCCTGAACACGTGGCACCCCACGACCCGAGGGCTGGGAGACCCGGTGGGTGTGGAACCTGGGGGAGTGGGGAGGCGTGGATCTGGGGAGTGGATGTGGGGCGGGGGACCGAGGCAAAGGGGAACCGAGAACAGAGCGCCTCCCCACCACACGAGGCCAAGGCGGGCGAGGACAATAGGGGAGGCTGGCTGGGGGCGGGCAGAGGCGCTCGGAGGGGAACTGGGGATGGGGGTGGGGAAGGGGTAAAGCCAGGCCGGGTTTGATTGCCAACACCTCAGCTGCGAACTCGAGACCACGCTCTGGGCATCCCTCGCGGGACCGGGTCTGGATCTTGGGGCCCTGGGGCTGGGGTCTGCGCGCACCCTCCTCTCACCCTGCGCTCGGGGCTCAGCAGGGGACGCTGCTCCGGTCTGGGCTGGGCTCCGGGCTCCGGCTGCTGCAGACGGCTCTGTCCCCCATGGCCCGGCCCCGCTGCCTCCCGCCGCCCGGTCAGCAGGCCCCGCAGGCCCGGGGCCGCCTCCCGCCGCCTCCGCGGGCCATGGAGCGGAGCCGCCCCGG